GAGATCAACTCATGTGTGAGTGTGCTAATTTTTCACAATAAATGTATGTTTGTATGAATATTTGAGAGTAGTTGTAGAAAAGGTTCCCTGTCTGGCAAAAGAATACAAAAATATGCACAACATTTGTACAAAAACATTATTGAAACTTATATGTACCTACATATGGATGTAATTGTACCAAATTGTACGAAATATTAGTACTTTTGATTGGTATCTATTCAATGAGTGCAGCCACAATTACTTTCAATGGAGTGGTTGCTGTTTATTTCTGGACTATTATATCCACTTTCAAAAGAGGTGGAAGTGGTATATTGACTTTGTCATTCCATTTATAATGCATTGACATACATATATCGTTAAAACGATATTGAAGACCAGTATCGATTGAAATACATTTTTCAGAAATATTTGTTTGATGATTAATAAGGATTGTTATGGATTTATTACCGTGAAGTACCCATATAAGGAATCAAAATGCTAAAATTTACTTATACAATAGCATTTTAAGTCACTATTTTAACACGGTCATGATGTCATTGGTGGCAAGTACTTACCACAAAACATTACAAGTAATTATAAAAATTAGTCATTGTAAATTGCATGAAAAAACGTATACTACTACTTCTATGTAATCCAGACGATATGTAATAGTCATTGAAAAGAATGTTGTTAGGTAAGTAATTACAATTGAAAGCCATTACCTAGTATTTGCTGGAAATGTTTCAAAATTCTTAAAATTTTACCCAGCAAAACTTGATAATGACTTGCAATTGTAACCACTTAGCTATTAACATACTTTTCAATGACTATGGATTACACAGAAGTAGTCTAGTAACGTCGTTTTAATAATATGTTATATAATTACTTTCTAATTCATTAGGCTGATGTCAGAGTGCCTGCTACAAGCGATGCGAAGGTTTGCGCTACAAACTTTTGCTTGTGTTTTCTCGCATCAAGTTTCGCTTTCACTCTGACTTGACACATAGGAAAACACAAGGAAAGGTTTGTATCGCAAAGCTTCGCATCGCTTGTAGCACCCACTCAGACATCAGCCTTAGTCAATTTCTCAGTGAAGATATACATAGCTGTATACTAATCTAATTACTTGTAAGCGATTGTGGTAAGTACTTGCATCCAATGATATCACCATGCTAAAATAATGATTTAAGATGCTATTGTGTATGTAAATTTTAGTATTTTAACTTCTTACATGGCAATTAAAGTTTTTTCTGGGTAGTTTTTTGAGGAATTATAGTCAATATGTCCCACAAAGAATTAAATATTTAAAAAAAGCTTTGAAACAAATGTGAAACTTTCAAATATATTGAATATTTTACCAATATTAAGGACATATTTCTAAACCCTTTAAAGAGTTATCTGATCTGGGATGGAAAATTTAGTACGATGGTACTATAACTAATCAATAGATAAACTGAATTTTATTTTCTTATCAAAAGTAATATGGCAACATTTTAAACAGATTTTTTCAGCCATTGTCTCTTATAAAGTGGATTTTACGTTGCACATTGGGATAGAAATAAAATAAAAGGAAACTAATTCTGCAACTTCTAAACGGTTTGTCCTATTCTAATGAAATTTCACATCATTGAAGAGGAAGTGTTGTTCAATTTGTCGGTTTTATATTTGGACCTCTTGGGCCCCCAAGGGTGCTGTCAGGGGTCAGCAAATTAATACTACATTTATAAGATCTACGTTTTTATTCCGAACTCAAAAAATTTGCTTATATAGAATTATGGAGCACTATAAACAACTGTCAATGTCTCTTATAGCTTAGGAGATATTCCCATTTTTGAACATAATTTTGAAACATTTTTTGATAATAGCGAGTATAAATATTTTCCGATTTTCCTCATTTTTCTTTTTTTCGACTAACAACAACACTACCTTTTTACATGTAAAACAAGTAAGAATTATAGTCAGGCGTGGCCGACCATATGATACCCTACACCAATTGCGAATTCAATCATTTCAATAATGAAGCATTTATGTTGAATCTTATATAGGTTCCAAATAATGTCTGTTCATCGATTTCAATCATTTTCAACAGCCTTCATCATTGGATCCAGATAATAGTATGTGACCCATTTTAACAAATTATATTCAAAATTGCGAGCTGTAGCGAGCACAAAACGTTTACACGGTCACAAAGACGGACATAGCTTAATCATAGCAGAAAGTGATTCTGAAGCGACTGGTATATCATCGTGGTACTAGTATTTATAAGTGAATTTTAGGTATTCAACTCATTTTCTGAAGGGGACTTTGTATGGGGGTTACGGTCTAATGAGGCCCGATCATGAAGAAAATTGACAGTGTTATTTATAATTATATCAAACTTAGTTGTGCCAATTTTTGGAAAGTTAATAGTATATTTGTCGTAGTTATAAGCTAAAAGGCCCAAATCACTAGGTCCGGTTGTATGGGGGTTAGGGCAAAAATTGGTCCGATCCTTATAAAATTTAAAGTCGAAATTTATGTTTATATAAAATCTATTTGTGCCCAATTTCATTGTGATACTAGTGTTATAAGTGAATTGTTCACATTCAAGTCATTATCTGAAGGGGATTTATAAATATATCAAAGTTAGTTGTGCCAATTTTTGGACAGATAGTATAATATTTGACGTAGTTATGAGCTAAAGACCCCAAATCGGTAGAGGCGGTTGTATGCGCGCTACGGTCCGATCATTATAAAATTTAATGTCGGGATTTATCTTTATATAAAACTTATTTGTGCCAAATTTCATTGTGATACTAGTGTTTATAAGTGAATTGTGTATTCTAGGTTATGAGTATTGTAGGTGATGTAGTTATTTCATACATAACTTGGTAATGAGTGGTCGTTATCAATAACATTAATTAATTTTTTTTTTTGAGTAGGGTTTGTAGACAATTGTCTATAGTGTATGTCTATTAAGGAATTAGTTAGTGGATCTAACCCTAGACGATATTAGAAGTTTTTTAAAGTAATATTAATTTTTACATTAAACATAGAAAATAACTGTAAAACCGGTTTTAAATCCGGACAAGTCAAGTAAGCACATTTGTAACCAGTTATTGGTCACTGCCCAACAAAAATAAGTAGTTATTCACCAAAAAAGTAAGTACATACACTTTGCTCCAATATTACCTTACTACTTACCGGGTATATAAAGTTTTATGTTGAATTTTTGAGAATACAAAAATTTTAAAATTGAAATAAAATTGCAATTTTGGTAAATTTTTTAACAAAATTTTACAGTTTAATAGACCTTTTCATGGACAAAAGAATTTTTGAAATTTATTATTATTATTACTAAAATTATTACTTGTAATTGTAACTAAAGTTCTTCCTATTACAATAACTTGTAATGTGTAATTGACAAATAACCAATTACAATTAAATGAATTTTTACAATTACAATTACATGAATTTTTGCCAATTACATATACTTGTAATTATAATTGAAGTTTCTAATGAAAATTACTTGTAATTGAAATTACGTATAACTAATTACAAATTACATGTAATTATAAGGAACAAAATTCACAATTACAAGTAATTATTATTGGAAATTCTTCAAATACAATTACAAGTTATTGTAATTGGCTTCAATTACAAGTAATTGTAATTAGTAAAGCTTCAATTATGATTACTTCAAATGTAATTGTAATTGAAAATGTAGTCATTACCAAGCCAGCTTTTTCCACCGAAAAAAATAGCATTTTATGTTTTTTTTATAATATATATATAATAAAATATATATAATAAAAAGTTATATAGTCATGATTCTTGCACTATTTGATACATACATTTGTTGTGGACTTAAGTAAGTCTTGCACTTCAAATACCTAACTCATAAACCTTTAAAGAGATTGGTCCACATATTTTCTTAATCCTAAAATCACTTTATATAAAATCCTTAACTGATACATACATACCAATACATAATGCACTAGTAGTTGTAACAATCGTTCAGTTCTGTATTTTTCTTACAAATCGTAAACTTTATATTTTCGATAATAGGACAACTTGACACAGTGATTTGCAATGATTTGGAAAAATATATTTAAGAAATAATGTTTGAATTTTTTTGGCTCAATTGATGTTTTCAACGTACCTTTCAGGTATGAATTGTACCAAAACAAAAGGTACAATAGTGACAACTATTCCACAACTGATTCGGCCATAAAGAGAAAGAAATAAAGAAAACAACAACAATCGCACACAATCGCTAAGCAAATTTTTAGTTAGTTTCTTTGTAGTAGTCGTTGCTGTACTGTGTGTGGCATGTAAATATTAAAAAAAGGCATGTTGTAGTTCAACTATGCAGAACTGTGCATTGGCATGTCTAGGGTTATTTTTATTTGTAAGAATCATTTTGTATACATGTACGAATATACATACATATATACACATATACATTTGTAGACATTTCAGCACTAGTATTGCGTGTAATTCGTAATTTTTAGTAAATATGGGTCGCGACTAGGAAACCTTGATACCGCTTATTCCTTTATATTCAATATATATACAAAAGCAAAAACAACAACTATAACAAATCTAATAAACAAACATCTACATACTTACAGCAGTGAGCTGCATATCTATACACACAAACCCAAATATATATAGAACTTTATATTATAACTTTAATACCAACAAAATAAATGGAGTCAATATATGATTGTGTGTACAATAGACATTCGTGTGAATGTGAAAGGACTCGTGGCCTAAACGAAAGGGAACTACAACTACAATAAACAAAAGCAGGAAAGCGAACTATAAAAAAAATTGAAAAACGTGTCATAGTTCGTTTCAAATGGTTTGGAGTGGCCACAAATATGGTTGGTGACGGCGACATCAGCCACAAGAACAACTTCAGCAGCAGCAGCAACAACAACAACGGCGACAATAAAACGAAACAATCTTAAATGGTGTTAGTTTAGTGAAAGTGGTAAATTATTCGTATAATTTTTATTTTAGTGAATCATAATTACTGAAAAAAATCCTTTATTTTGGTATTTTTTCTTTTTTTCGATTTCTCTGTTTTTGGCTGGTCTTGTTCTTGTTCGATTGTTTTGTTGGTTCTAGTAAATTATTTACTCATACACACTCTTACACTTACACTCACACTTTGATACTTTGAGATGTTGTAGGGAACTCCTAAAATTGAAATTACTATATTATAGATCAATTTGTTTGTTGTTAGAGAATTCGTTATTATTTTTAATTAAAGCCTTGGCACAAATTCTTTAAATCAAAAAATGTATTTTTAGCATTTTACAATTGTAAAATTCTCATTCAATTTTCAAAATGTACAATGAAAAAAAAAAACCCACAAATTACACTTGCATAGACTTATAAATTTACATATAATTTCTTAATTTCAATTTTTTTTTCACTTTTTTTATTAAACTACAATTTTTTGTCAATAATTAGCTCACGAAGAGTTTTCCCTTTTTTATGTGTTTTTTTCTTGTCGTAGAATCTTCTTTTTTTTTGATAGAAAGGGAGTTCGTTCTTTTCACACTTTACATAACCGCCCGAAGCTCATCATCTACTTCGATTAACTTTATTTTTATTTTTTTCTTATTTTAAAATTTCATTAACACTCGTTTTAATTATTATTTTTTTCGTTATTTTTTTAAATTTTCGTTTTAATTTATTTCTCTCCTTGTGGAATTCATTACTTTTTTTAGGTTTTATTATGAATTTATTTAAATTTTCTGTGATTTATTTTCGAAAATTTACTGCATCTATTATAGAAATCAGTTGAATTTTTTCATTTCAAATAATATATGCTATATGCCACCAAAGAACATATAATGATAATATTTCTATTCTTTTTTCTTCTGATTTTGGTTTTTTTTTTCTTCTTGGTTCTTCTTCTTTTTCACAATTTGTTGGTTTTCCGTTTTGAAGTGTTGTTGAATTGCAAACCCGTCCCGAACTGAAACGAAAAATTAACAAGTTTTCTTTTCATACAGTGCAGCACGCATTTTTAGGTACTTTTTTGCTGCAAATTGTCGTAGCTTTTTCGGAATGTTACCGAAAATTTCCCTGCGTTAAGCTTTTTTTCGTGTTTTTAAAGCTTTAAGCTTTTTGGCGTATTCAATGAATTGTTTTGTTTTGGGATTTTCGTATCTTAACATGTGCCTAGTCTGCCGCATTGTATTAAAAAGACTTGTCAAAAAAAAAAAAAAAAAAAAAAAAAACCAAATACACACATACCAACGTTGACACCACCAGCATGTGTATTTAAATGTAAACATAAACTAAAGAATAAAAATAAAAACAAAACAAACTAGCAAAGAGCATGTCAAAAAATATAAAAAGTTTGTTTATATTTATAAATTGCCGCATGGCAAAAACAAAAGCAACAAAGCGAAAATAATTTTTGTTTTTAAATAAACAAAATATAAATGGAAAAAGTGAAAAATAGAAATTATAGCTAAAATTTAACATAATTTATAGCAAATAGAAAAATAAAGCAAAAAATTAATTTTTAATAAAGTTAATTATTTCAATTTCATATTTTTTAAACAAATTACTTTTATATTTTATACTTGTCTTCATCTATTAATAATATATGTTGCATTTTAAACCTAAAAGTTACTGCTAGACAAAATTCAAAAGCTTTTCAGTTCATTTTTCTTTTTTCAATTAAATATTCTCTTTCTCTTTTTCATAAAATGCAACTTTCCGAAAGCTTAATGATGTCATTATGGGATTTTTATTTTCTTTAATTTTTCATAACTCCAGCACTAAGGTAAGAACGCTAATTTATTTGTGGCATTCGCAACGTATGAGTAACATGTATTTTTTCACAATTAAATATTCACATGATGTGGAAATTTGAAAGTGAAATGAGTTCTAAAGAGATAATGCGAAAGAAATCAAATTGAATATGTTTAAAGAAGAGATGTTGTTGAACCTAATCTTGGATATAAGAACTTAATAGAATAACAACATAAATGTAACAATGAAGCTGCATGTTGTTGTTTCATTGTGTTTTTCTATGTACTTAATAACAACAATTTTTTTCATAGGTTTCTTTTTGCTCATATCACTGTTATTTAAAGATCGATTTCGCTGACTTTAAACAGAAAACTTCTCGGAAACGGATCTTCAGTAAATTGATTTCCACAGTCTGTCTATATGTATGCCTCTGGAAATCAATTTAGTTTACTTTAATTGATTCCGCTTTCCATAATATTCGAAAAGTATATAGTGGAAATTGCAAAGGGAATGATACACTTATGCGCATCTTTGAAGGTGATAAGGGTATAAGAAGATAATTTTGTTTTTTTGAAAAAAATGCTTTTCTTTATAATGCATGGAAAAAATTGGAGATATTTAATGTAATTATACCAACTTAATAAAAACTCAAAACTTTTTAAACTTTTTAAATTTTTTCGAAAATAACTTGAAACGAGAGAAGAAGCTCTTTATTCTCAAACAAAAAACAAAGCATTAAATGTCTAGAACTTTTGGTGGTTAAATAGATGTATCACACTGTGCAACAAGAAAAAGAAATGAAAGTAGACAATCAGTAGACATTTTGAGAATATGTATGGAAAATGTCATTCCTGCAGCTCTTATTTCCCTAAGATTTCGAGATAGTGGTCATATATATTATGTACCCAGATATTGTAATGTGACCGAATGAAATTAGATTATTACTTGAAATTAAAGTGCTGTTTCTAGATAGCATGCGAGCACTTTGAGTTAAAATTTTATTTGTAGTTCGTTATTGTAACAAAAACAAAATACATTTAAAATTTTTACTCAAAGTACTCTCACGTTATCTGGAAACTACACATAAGTAATTTCCCATACAATTTAAAATTTGAAATTAAGTTAGTGAAATTGAATACATACATAATTTAGGAAATAAAATAGTAGTGAATGCTAAACGATGATTACTTTCAAAGCATTTTCGCTATCAATTTTTTTTTCTTGACACGATCTAGTATAGAGAAGGAACTATTTGTGTTTTCCTAACCTGACTTTAACCATATTTCCTAAAAGATTTCAATCGACACCACGTCGACACTTTTTAAGCGTACCGATTTGGCGGGATCTTTAGTTGCGAAATTCTAACGTAGAGGATCAATGCCAAATCTATCTATCATTATTGTCTATGTCAGCCAATTTCTTAAGAAATAAGAAAAGATAAATAAACAAATTTTGGAAAAAAATCATGTTTTCTGTGCAAATGTTTTTAGTCCATACTTTTTTTCCCGGGAGGTTTGGTTTTGCCTTCCAAAAAGATCCAACATGAGTTTTTTTCTGTAAGCTAATTTCCAAAGAAACATAAAAGCCATAAAAGCAAATTCTTCTTTTGTGGTATTATTTTCATAATTTTAATTTTTTTAGATTTGTAGTTTTTATTTTTATTTATATTTACAGAATGTCAAAATCAAATGTAAAATCTTTAGATTTCATTCGATTCGGAAAACCGAATTAAGTTTTTCACATTTACCGAACATTCATTATAATTACAAACAATAATACGGTTACAGTAACTGAAAATCAGGTTTATCCATAAATTAGTTTGGTATTAATAAATTTTCAATTACAACTACCATTATTTTCTGTTGAATCGAATAATGCCTTATTAAATTTGGTTGTATATAAAGAATTGATGAAATAAATGTGGGAAAGTTTGATATTGTTTGGCATAACTAATTTAACTATTGATATAGCTTCATTTCGATTACAATTACGTTCTTTCCATTTGAATAATTAAAAATCGCCTACCATTATAGTTTTTAAATAGTAGCAATAAAATTTTATTCAAAGTAACCAAATAAATGTAATACTGACAGATTTTCAAACGATCTGTTTTCTGTGTGTAGTACTTATAAATGTATAAGAAAACTATTGTTCAATTCACAATCAAGTTGTATATTGTACCTACTAAAGTGTAGTAACAGTGATTGTGAACAGATATTTGCAGCAAGTCGTAAGTTTATGTTCTCAATGAAAAAAAAAAAAAAACAATCAAAACAAATATACATAACAATGTCAAAAGATAAAAAAAATCAAAAAATATTAAATTAATAAACATATCAAATAAACTCAATTAATTTCTTTGAATTTTCAATTCTTTTATTTTCTTTATTCCACATTTTAAACTAATAAATAAACTGTTTTTAATAAAATTTTATTTTTTTTGTTTTGGTAAACTGCCGTTTGTTTTTGATTTCAGTGTTACCACTTTTTACATCGCTTTTTATGCTAAAATTATTTGAATTTTTCGTTTATATGTTGAAATAAACAATTGGCAACACTAAACTTTCTTACAACATTCGAAAAACATATGAAAAATTGTCGTAATATTTGTATAGAGCTTTTGCATAGAAAATACCAACAACATTGTTATGACTATTGTAGCAGCTGCTGACATACAACGCTACAACATCGATTGTGAATTGAACAATTATTTATTGAAGAGAAACGTAAGGCATTGGTGTTATGGGTAGAACAGTGGAATGAGAAGTTTAGCATAAGTGGTTCGAATCTAAGTCAACTCAGTATTTTTATTAAAAATATTTAAATATTATCAGAAACAAAATTAATTGTCTAAAGATTTATAAGTACTTTTGTAATTCCTCTTCAAGAAATTAGATTTCTGAAAGAAAAACGTCTGTTACTTTTCAAAATTCGATTATTATAACCTCCACCACCATCACTGGAGCAGGCTTGTTATTCTGAATGTAACACTGAGAAATATTAATCTCAGGCCCAACAAGGTATAGACATATAAATATTGTGGGTCCTTATGAAATTTTGAGTCGATTTAGCTATGTACGTTTAAATAAATACTGCCTGTTTCACAATATTAGAGAAACCGGCAGATAGTGTTTAAATTTTGAGAATCCAATTAATTATTTAAAGTATTTTTTCCATACATGTGTCTGTTAAGTGTTAGTTCCGTTCTACACGGTATATTTTAAGGCGTAATGAAAATGAAGGATATATTATGTTGAATTGAAATCTATCGTTAAAATCTGATGATTTATATAACCTGTTTATGGTGGAAGGTATTTAAGATTCGACACAGCCGAATATAGCACTCTAACTTGTTTAATTTATTTATGATGAGGTTAGCGAAGCACAGCGGGTAATGCTAACATATATATAAAAGGACATTAATAAAGTGCCATCAACACTTTGTCCTAATTTGTATATTGTATATCTTACCTTTGATATCTTTGTAAAAAAAATAAAAAAATGTTTTTTAATATTTTATTAAGATTTATTTGCTTAATTATTAATTTATTTTTTTTATTTGCAAATATTTTTAGTTTATTCATAATTCTTAAATTATAACCATTTCAATGATTTTCTTCATATATTGCAAACAATATAAATTATTAATTTTTTAACTACATACTTATCTTAAAATATGTTTAACAAATATGTTTACAAAAAAACCCAAAAAGAAAACATAGGACAAACAAAAAAATAAATTACATAAAACAATTAAATACAAGTACTTTTATACCAGCTTACTTAACTAATTTTTTAAATTAATGAATAATAAATACAAAGTAAACTAATAAATCTGAAACCTAAAATCGGGACTACGGAAATAAGTGGGTTCGATTTTACATACAATAAATACAGTAATTATCTAATAAAGCAAATCCTTAATTAATTAATATTAATTTATTTGTTAATTGTATAATTGTTCATAGAACTAATTATTTTCAATAATGATGTACATGTAATGACAAATGACACAACTTAGAATTGTTAATTGTTAAAAATAATAAATAATTTCTTATTAAAATAATTGAAAATTAATGATGCACGAATGAGTTTTGTTTTTAGATTTGTAATTAATACATTTATGATCTTAATTAAAATAGTTTTATTTAAAAATTAAAGTTTTATATATAAAAACTTATGATTTTAATATACATTTTATCTTTC